AGAGACTGAAGACGCGATGACTATTTCCCCGCGCCACCCCGTCCGTGCTCCTCTTGCGGTTGTCTATGATGTTGTCGTGTTGTTGCCATGGTTCTTCGTCTGGGCCGTTGTTTTTGCTGTTGCAGGACGCGATGACTATTTTCCCGCCTCGCCTCGCCCCGCCCCGCCCCGCCCCACCCTGCCTCCTCTTGCTGCTGTGTCTGGTGTTGCCGTTTTTTGTCTGACATGGTCGTTGTTGTTGTTGTTGTTGTTGTTGTGGTTGTTGCAGGACGCAATGACGATGGCCGCGGCAGACGAGGCCAACCCTCTCGCACACCCGGACGCCCTCCGACGAAGACGGACCCTACGCGATGCCGGCCTGGCCGCCAAGGCCAAAGCCGCCGCCGCCGCCGCCGCCGCCGACGCCGCTGGCAAGCCCGGCGAGAGCAGCAGCGGCGGCGACGGCGACGGCGGTGCTGATCATCACGGCGGCAGCGGCGAGGGCGGCAGGGAGGAGGCGGAAGCGCCTTGGATAGGCAGGCGCGTGCTTAGCGTGGGAGGGGAAACCCACGTGGTGGCTACGGACCACAGCACGGCGCGCTTGTCCATCAGCGGCTCGAGGTGCGCTTGCAGCTTGTGAAGCCGCTTGGAAGAAACGGAGAAACGTGTGCCGCGTGTGTGCTGTTGATTGATTGACTCGCTGAGTGCAAAACGAATGTCTTGTTACAGCATTTCTGAGTGCGATCATAACGACCAAGCGACGCCCCCCCCCGTTGACTGCTCCCGAAACAAAACTGTTACAATAATGATCAACACACACCCTGGAGCAGGGTAGGCCGCCAAGGGAGCTTCGTGGAGATGCAGAACGTTCCCGTAACTGCGGCGGAGGGCGGCGACGACTTGGACGACTGTCGTGACGAGAGGCACGACCACGCCCTCATTGACACGATGGACGACCGGTATAGCGGGAACGCTTAAGCAGTGTGTGTGGCCGGCCACCAGAGCCAAACCGCGCGAGCCAGCCAGCCAGCAAGCAAGCGCGACTCGCGCACGTTCTCGACGCTGGACATCTGATGAGCTTCGCAGCTCTGAAGGGCTGTCTCTCTCTCTCTCTCTCTCTCTCTCTCTCTCTCTGGTGCTTGCTCTCTTTGGCGTGGGGGGCGAGAGGGCGCGTCCATTGTGTTCCTTTGGTCGTTTTTGACGAGGCGTGGTTGTCGTTGGGGGGGGGGGGGCGTACTCATTTGTTGCTTGCCTTAGTCATTTGACCATTGACCACGCGTCCCTTTCGAGACGGAGCATGGTTGTCGTTGGGGGGGGGGTGTACTCATAGTCGTGCATGCCGTAGTCGTTTGACCTTGGGTTGTCGTTGGGGGGGGGGTTCCGTTCTGCTTAGATGTGGGTATGGGCGGTTCGTTCCCCGTCAAGCGTTGGCGGTCGCAGCAGCAGGCCTCGCTGAAGTCATTCTGTGAGCGTGCGCTGGCTGCTTGCTGGCTTGGCGCCCTGAGGTTGTAGATAGACACGGACAAGGTTGCGACGGCAGTTCTTCATGAAGAGGGGTTGATGGTTGTGAGCGGTCGTGGTGGTGGTGTAATGACGGCTGAACTTTTTTTCTTTTTTTTTTTTTTCGATCCTGACTTGCAAAAGTTTTTTTTGACCCTCCGGAGAGGAGGATGTTCCGAATTGTGTTCTTTCAAAACAGACCTGGATGTTGATTGTGACTGACCCTCTGAATTTTTATGGACCCCGACACGTTTTTGATTATGTTTTTTTTTTTTCCACATGTATGTACAAAGAAAAGATAGATACTACTTTTGCTTAGGCGGCCGGTGGAAGCTTATCCATGATTCTGTGCGCCTCGTAGGTCGCGCGCCTTTCTTTCTTTTTCTGTGCGAAGTGTAGAGAAACCTATAATGGTTCTATTAAGTTTGACATTGCCCCAGCGGTGGGCGAGTGGGCTGCGCGCGTGCTTCTACATATGTCGGGACCGCATGGTTTCTCTGTACGCGCTTCGTTGCTATTCCTCGTTTTCGACGGTCGCGGCTGTCATCCGCAGGCAGAAACTACTGTGGGAGGGCTCTTGGGGACGGGGGAGCAAGGAGCCAGAAGGTTGGGGGGGCGGGAGGGGTAACAGTGCTTCCATGTGTGGTGTTCCATACGTTAGAAGCCCCTAGCTTCTAGCGCTACAAACAAAGCCTTGTTGTCGTACTCGCCTCCTCCTGCGCCAAGGGTTAATGGAAGCAGCGCTTGTCGACATGGTACATACCATGGTACGTTCCACCACGCAAGACGCGCTCTTGATGGATGGTGTTCGTGACCGGTCTTTCGTTCTTGGAATAGGCGCAGCCGGTGAGCTCCGCATCGTCATGCTCAGGGTGGGCGCACAGCCTCTGCGCACTTTTTTCGATTTTTTCGGGGATGTATACACACAGCAGCACTTGTTGCGTATTTCTTGATCTTCACGAGGGCAAAGGCAAGCACTAGCGCTGCCGAACGAGCAGGGCAGTACCGAATTTGGTGGGGGCGAGGGGGGGGCGGGGCAGAGCCTTCCGAAGGTTTTTGTCTTCGCCGAGACCCACTGCCGGTAGGTGTATTGTAGTTAGGCACAAACCTGCGGTACGATAGATAACACATGGGATGCGGGGAAATCACGAGACTGTTATTACGATAGTCTCTGAAGTTGCTGCTTGAGGTAGGTACAGCAGTTGTTTCGTCCGATTGGATTCACGCACTAGATTGGCCGCGTGAGAGGTTTGTGTGTGTGTGTGTGTGTGGCGGTCTTGCTGCGTTTGTGCGGTAGGCGGCAGGCACGCACGTTTGTTCCCTTCGAAAAGAGCGTAGAGAGGGAATCTGTTATCGTCCGAGATCATTTCGCGGGGATGCTTGTATGTTTTGCTCTTTCTTTGCGCGCGCACGAATAAGTGTGACGCGGAAACTCAAGGGTCTAGATAGATTCGGAAGGTATTTTTATATGCCCCCTTTTGGTTTGTGTCCCTGCCTGCTGTGCACAACGGTCTGGCCATGAAGATTCAGATGGATCAAAATTGACAACCGCTTGGCGCTGAGGAAGCGAGAGCTGCTGTAGGTTTGGGTGTGTAACGAGAACAAAAGTACAATGTGTGCTCGACTTGTTGAGTTTTTTTCAGTCCTGCCTGTTTTTGTGGTGTTTTCCGGACAGGCGCACGCAAGCAAATCCGTCGACCTAGTTGGTGCCACGTGATGCACATGTCACGGCGATATGCCAACAGACGACCTGGCAGATGATGGTGCTCGGCCTGGTACCTTGTACGCTCAAGTTCTCCGGGCTGTGTGTGTTTGTGCGTGCAAGGGCGTCGTAGACAATTTTCTGTATTCGGGAAGAAACGGTTTCATCAATCGCCTACTTTATTTTCCTTGCCCCCGTTTTTGTTGATGCCAGTCGGTCAGGTCAGACGCCTTTTCGTAAGAGAAGTCATCACACTGCCTTATAAGGAACGTGCGCGGGAACTCCTTCCCTCCCCCTGTGGCCGTATATATGTTTCGCAGCAGCGTAGCAGGAGTGGAAATATTGTACGGTCGTGATTGGTTCAGGCTGTTCCGTTCCAGCTACTGTAGGACCGGCGGTTAGATTTACAGACAGACGTGGGAAGGAGTTGTCACCCCCCCTCCCCCCCAGGAATCGCACGCCCCCACGTCGCCCCTGGTTGCTTGCGACGTAGAGCGTACCGTACCAAGTCGTTTTGGGTTAGACTAAGGCGGCGGTGGCGCGATGCCTCTCCTTTTGTATATGCACGACGTTTGTTTGCAATCTGATGTCTACCCAGTTTTTTGTTTCTTGAATGAGAGGGAGGGTAGGATGGCACTGGCGCGGCGGTGATTGATAAGTTCTGTCGACTGGTTTTCAGCGTTTTGGTTTTCGTTGTAGCTGGCGCAAAACGAACAACAGAGAAAAGTCGGAGGATGAGAAAGTGAATGGGGTGTTCGAGACAGAGAGGGGGGGGGGGGGGGGAGGGGTGGATGTGGTTCTGCGGTCGATGACCATGTCAATTTTGTCTTCACGACGAAGACAGGCGCAAGCGCTTGTTGTTGTTTTTTGGGGGTAGTGATGTTGTGATTCATCTCTCTCTCTGTTTTTTTTTTCTTAGAAGCGACGACGATGTGTCCGGCGTTCGTACCAGGCAAATGGTCGCTTTGGTTCATTCATGCTTCGTGTCCTTTTTCTGGCTGCTGCTGCTGTTTCCGCCTTGTGTGAGTGCGTGGATTGACTGTATGCCCACACCTGCGTTAATTTCTAGATAGATTCGTGCTCTTTCGCCAAAGCTCTTCAAGTACACGTGATTAATCCTATCCTTCATTTGGAAGGGGTGGGCGGAGAGGCCGTGCTTGTTCCACCAAATGAACATTAACAATATTGATCAGAGATCGATCGAAACGTGCGCCGTCGATATGGTAACCTTGGCTACCCCTCCTGCCGCAGGGTGTAAGGGCACCGCCTATGTATGTAGCATGACGACTCGTCATCCCTGTCATTGTAATGAAAAGCACCGCTGTCATTTCGTTACACCAGCCGTGGTCCCTTTTGTGTAAGGCCGGTGAAATCGCGAGACGCAGATGGAATATTCAAGTTGGTCTCATACTCTGAAAAGTGCTGGCCGGGTGCCCGGTAAAAGGCCGGCCAAATCCCTGGCGCTTAAGTACCCGGCCGTTTACACGGAAATCTATCGACTATTAGCACTACTGCACATCACAGGATACAAGCATCTTGCATATCTACGAAGAAAGAAAGATACGTCATCATAAGGGCTGCAACTAAATTCCCACGTGTGGTCACGGCAGGGAGAAAGTAGCGGTACTCTCATCCGACCCGCCAATGAACTGCCCTAGCTTATCAGAGAAAGAACGTTACTGCTGTAGTAAGCACCAAGGCTCCGCGGGGTTGAGAGGCTCTCATTTCTTTACCTTCCACCCCAACCCGCCGGCTGTGGTTTTCCAAGCGAAGCCCTCTCCTTGCTCCTTGCTGCGGCCGGCCGGCTACCGAAGGCGAAAATCTCAATCCGACACAACACATATTGTAGTGCGCGCGCGCGCGAATACACGCCAACGGTAGCAAACCGAATGGCACGCCGAGCAAAACACATACGTGACACGCGCTGTAACAGATTTCGCTGACGCCTCCTCCTCGTGGTGAGCGCTCTCCTCCACCACTGCCGCGAAGTAGATGTAGACTTTTTTGTGTCTTTTACTGTTCCCCGAGTGCCGGGGCGTCGGCGGTTGCAGCTGCTGCTGCTCCAGGTGAAGATTATGATGATGGGCCCGCGCCTGGAAAGGTGGCGAAGCCGCCCCACCCCCCCCCACCGCCACCGCCACCGGTAACGTCCACGTTGCTCGGGGAACCAAGAGGCACGCCCGAGACCTCCTCGGACGCGTGCGCATCCCGTTGACGACGGGTGTCGCCGTCTGGAAAGGCACGGCGCCGGTGGCGGTGCCCGACCCCGCTTCCGGGTGGGACGAGGGCAACCCAAGCACCGGGGATCGGCGTACCCGTCACCAAAACAGCAGCCGGGTCTCCGCCCACTACCCCCGCGCGCCCCTCGCCTGTTCCTTCCACCCCGGCCGCCCCTTCCCCCCCTGGGGGCAATCACCTGTGGCCACGGAAGGTGTCCGTGTCGTCAGTTGAGACCCGTACTGATGGCAGAAGACTGTGCACTCGGGTCTGCCCCTCGGCCCCGGCTACGCCTTCCCCCTGCTCCCCCCCCGTCCCCTCCCGGTCCCGCAACGCCCCCGTACCCCCGGCGTCCCCTTGCGGTAGGCTGGGGGAATAGAAAGCTCCTCCTCCGGCCAGGGGTGAGCACTCGGCTCGTCGTTGACTGGAGTCGTTGGCGACCTCTTCTCGGCCTCGAGTAGGTGCTCGGCGAAGTTCTTGGTGTTCTCGATGACGCGTTGGACGGCCGCCACAGACGTGAGCTGGGCGAACATGGCGCCCAACTCCTCCCCCAAGGCGACGCCGCCGTCGTGAGCGTACTCATACGCCGACACGCTGGTGGGGCCGGCGTGGGGCAAGGCGATCGGGTTGGGATCGTCCACGGGCGGCACCTGCCCGGGATGCCCCGCAGCTGCTCCGCGGGTCGATCTCCTCGGAGGCTTAGCGGTCAGCCCTGCGTCGAACGTGTGCCTCATGCTTCGCACCTAACGGTAACGGTAACACGCACCGCCCGAGAGGACGGGACTCGGTCAGGGTATTCAACCAACACGTTGGGCGACGTCAACCGAAGACAGTTACCCGGATAAGAGGTAAAGCTCACGACATCATGGTGACGAAACAAGAGCGGTTCTTAGCGATAATGGTGCCGGTTAGATACTTTCTGTCGTCCGCCTCCTTTTGCCCCCCAACCCCCCCCCCCCCCGTCTCGGTAGCGTCTACAAATATAACCTACCGCAAAGCTATACGCTCGCCCGCTCACCTTTTGCTTTCCGGCCGGCCCCAGCTTCTTTCCGATGTCCGCCAAAGCCTTGTGTATCTCTTTCGTTGTGACGTTGGAAAAGTGCAGCCGACGGATAAGGTCGGACTCCTCCTCGATGTCCTCTGCGCATACGCCGTTGCCGTTGTCGAAAGCTCGTGGGCGCTCGTGCTCCTTTCCGCCTGAAGTCGGGGTATGGTGCGCGAGGCAAAGGTTTGCCTGCGCAGCGGGTATCGGGAGACAAAAGCGAAGCGAAGCGGTGTCACATGATCTCTTGTGTCCACAACAAGCGGGCTCGGCGCTCCTAGGCAACAACGCGCAGCTAACGCGGAGTCGGCTCTGGCTCCTGTCCAAACTCAGCACACTCCAACAAGGCGAGGGTATTGCTGTGTCGTCGTCGTCGCGCAGCATCCGCTTCTCTGCCGACCTTCTACTACTTTGTGCAAGTCAACTCGCCTGTGAAACTCGCGGTGTCGCACTGTTGCTCGCCCACCACAGCCCCAAGTGAAAGTTGCAACCCACCTAGGATTCGCACAGGGGACAACCACGGTACAGTGTTGTGCAGGTGCACGAGAAATATATCTGTCCGCGTGGAGAGCGATGGCCATTTTGCGTTTTCCATACACTCCAACACAAAAAATGCATATACATACACAAGTGGAATCACCACGTGCCTTTTTCGGCGCTTTTCTCGACTAATTACCGCGCAGAGGGTGCGCAACCAGCAGGCAACAACATAAACTCCTACAAATAATGACGTTAACACACTTGCAGGCTGAAAGCTTCGAAGAATCGCGCGCGCACTGTGGACGAATATTGGAGATCACACCGCAGAGGTGCGGCCGCGGTGCGACCAACAAAACAACAAAGGAAAAAGAAAGGTCCTATGATAGTCGCACACACAACTACTTGGTTGGCTCGACGCTCGCATGTTTTAGTGGTTCCTGTTGTAGAGGGAGACCACAGCGCAGCAGCGCAGAGGACACAACCGCGAATGGTGTCCCGAGACGTCCACGTAGTGTGCAGCGATCACGTTCAATCGGCGCTCTGCTGCTGTACCTCGCACGACGAGTCAAAACAATATCAACTTCAACAACAGAGAGAAGCAAGCCTCATATCCATCTCGACTCCTCCTCCGTTGACTCGTCACTCGACGCGCTAAGGGAATGCTACATAGCTGCGTACCGAGATACCACGTTGGCCAGAGGGCTGCTCATAATCGGTTCGTAGAACACCTCAGGCAGACAAATATACTGTAGATACCTTCCGCGATTTAGAGTTGCAGCGAGCGCTCGCATCCTCCACACGTGGACGCTTTCTCGGCTTCCCCCCGTGGCAGCACTTGATCGATACGTAGCTCCATCTGTTACGCCTCCTGGAGTCCTCCTCCTCGTTCTTTTTTGTCCAAAGCTGGGGGAGGCGGCGGCAGCACATTCGGAATGCCGGCAGTTGTCGGATGTTCGACATTTAAAATGGGTGCACCACGTGTCGCTGTTACGACGAATACGGTGGGCCTAGCCGAAAGCCGAGCCAACAGCATCAATACTACCACAGGCACCTTCCCGCACACCAACACAGCAAGTCCACTCTGCACGTCAGGGAAGGGGTACTGCCGCTGCCCGCAACTAGAGGGAGGGTACTCTCCAACCCCACCTTCGTTTTGTTCTCTCTCTTCAGGCGGAAGCCGCGTCCGGTCTTGGCCATCAACATCTTCACGGCGTTGTGCATGGTTTTCTCCCCAAAGCTGCCGGTCCCATCTTCGAGGTTGGGAAACTCTAGGTTCCTTACTTCTTTCTCAAGGGTCGCTACCTCCCCTGCTGCACACGGTCGAATTCAAGTGGGCAAGGTTTACAGCGCCGTTGTTGTGGGCTGGCCGTCAACAAAATACTGGTTGCGAAGCAACATCAGGATCAAGTCGGAGCACAACGTTTGCATTTTGCTTGCGATACGGATGGGCAACAAGAACATTGCGCTGCTGTATGAACGAATTCAATATACACTACATAAAATACCTAGAGACATGTCCGGCAGGGCTGCACCGCTTAGAGGTTCACCGGTAGTAGCTGGACCTGGACCACCTGCGGGCGTGCCATCGCCAACTCTTCTACCCTCTCGACGAGCTGCGCCGCCGCCGCGCGAGGCTGTCCCGGCGTTATCGCCATTTTCACCTTCGCCAGCGTCAAGACGAGGTGCAACACCAACCTCTACCAACATGCCTCCCTCCTCCTCCTCCCCACCAACATCATGCGTCTCGGTGGAGGTCCCGCTCCAAGCCAGCACCTCGGCCAGCGGACGACAGGAAGAGCTTGTCGTTGCCTCGCCATCGGAACCAACGACGAGCAGCGGATCCAGCCTCCATGCTCTGCTGTCGTAGGCTGCTTGCTGGCACTGGAGAGGCTAGGGTGTGAGCCCGTACGGGTTCGCAGAGCTGAAGGGTGTGCTATTCGGGTGCCTTCAACCGCCGGTGGCGCGTGTGCGCAGCGAGCGTTGGGTACCGTGTGCCGTGTTCCGTGTTGGCGGTGCTCAATTCAAAATAGGTTGCAGTTCTCGAGGCGTTTTCGTGGCTGGAGAACCTTTTTCCGGGGGCGCCGTGGCTCTACCACCGAAGGCCACACCCCTCTTCCCTCGCGAAGCACCCGTCGACAGGTCACGACGTCACGACCAGACGACACGCACAGAACTCAACAACTTCTCTTCTCTATCTCCTGACTGCCATGACTGCGCCGTCCAAGACCGTTTGCCTGCGAGCTTTCAACAAGGACCTGGATGGAACTAACCCGTGGGAGAGGCAAGGACCCACGCCGCCGCCGTTGCCCAAAAGGTGAGGAGGGTAAGAAGAGAGTCCGCATTTGTCTGTCTCGAGCAGCATTCGGCCGTTACAGACACATCAGGACGGAGAGAGCGCGCCGCCGAGATCAGGAGCTGTGCCACTCGCGGCCCCTCCCTTCACCTCTGTTTTCGCTCGGGCGGAATATATTGTGTACTTCATTCAGCCACGCAAGTGCTTGGGGCTTGTTTGTTTTGGTGCGAATGAGGGTACTTCTCTGTCGCCATTCCCATTTTTTGTCATTTTTTGTGAAAGGGACGGTTTTCCGGACCTTTTCCCTCGCAGAAACAAGTCGCGGCGTTCTGCCACGCACAGCAGTATGCTCAGGCGCTTCTGTTGTGTTGGAGGACGGGAGACCATTGGTTTAATCACAACATATCTTGAAGGAGCTGGGAGTATAGTCAAGGGGGGGTATATCCCTCCCAAGCTCCCATGGTACCTATGAACACTCCGGTGGACTGATTTCTGCCGACAAACTGACGGAACATCTCGCCGCTCATCAGTTTTTACGATTTTACAACCCGGATGTATGCATACCACAGGCACCTTGAATGTGTGATCTATGGCATTGCTCTGTCGGCCGGCGTTATTGTTATTTGCGGAAGCAGCTTACTCTACACTGCTGTACATACTTCCATTATATGCATACAATACAATGTTAAATGTTGCACTCTTCTCGAATAAAAAGTGTACAAACTTTTCCAGTTCGCCCCAGAAAACTACGCAGATTGATGCCCACACTTTCCAGACACGATACACGAAAAACGTTTTCCAAATAATTTCCCCTATAGAGAGATTGGTAACGACGCCCAGACTCTGTGACCAAATGGATGGAACATATGGCTATTATAGCACACACACCGGTGACCTTTCGTGTTGTTTTTGTTCTCTTCGTCGGCCTCTCCTCTATCTTGCATAGTGATACTTCGAAGTACCATTTTTTTTTTTGTCAATATGCATAGGCTGGTGCGTCCAGAATTGTACCGAAAGGCGTAAGGACCAACGCCCACATGGGATGGAAAAAATGGTGTGTTGCATGTGGTTGTTCTCTACTTGAGGCGTGTGTTTTTGAAGGACACCCACTTGCACATAGACAGATCCCTCAGCCTATTTGGAGCTATCCATACCACTTGAATCACCAAGGTGTTGACGACAAATTGCCTGCTGTGGGTCATGTGCTTTTGTTCCTGGCTGTGTCTTGCCCTCATCTCTCCGCCTTCCAAGCCCCTCGTCCGAAACAGCGACACCGAACGGCCAAACCTCGTGACAGTTGTCTGTGGTGTTGGAGTGTGGTATGCCGGTTTCTCACTCGCGTCTACGTAAGTGTACCAATTCTCTCTCTCTCTCTCTCTCTCTCTCTCTCTCTTGCTCGCTCGCTCTCGCTCGTTCTCCCTCCAGTCTATTTACTGATATTGTGATATCCTATACTGCTGTGTGTTGCACCTGTTTTTTCTCCCAAGCCGTTCCTCTAGATACCACAAGACACACACATACACCACACCCGCTTCACCCAATTCCGCGGTTCCCCTTGCCTCTGCTGCTGTGTCGTGCATACATATCTTGATGCTTTTTCATGAACCACGACAGGATCGCCTGGCCTGGCGGCAAGATCGTATCGAACAAGGATGAGGCACTAGCCAACTTCCTGAGGCGGAAGGTAGACCAAGGCCAGACACTCACTCCCGAACAGGTACGTAATGCACGAGAGGCGGATAAGTGCTGGGCATGCCGTGAAACAAAAGGGATGCGGATGGATTCGTTTGACGAACATGTTGGGAGAGCCGATTCGATTCTTCTACCGTCTCTTGGTAGCAGCTACTCTACTGCTGTAGGCTCCATGCAATGCGCTGAGTATGCAGAGCAGTGGGCAGGGCAGACAGCAGCACCGAGAAGGAGCTTTGCTTCTCGGGTGGCTTCATGTTTTTTTCCGAGGTGATCGGTATCTCTTGGAAACTTGTCGAACTACAGTAGTGTGTCAAGTGTTTTCGCGCTTTTTATTTAAACCTGTGCCTGCTGACCGAACCGAACCGAACCGAACCGAACCGAACGACCAGATGGCCATGCTTAGGAGGATGGCGTACCCGAACACGTCGGTATCGGTACCGCCAGGCGGGTCCGGTGTTGGTGGCACCACGACGGCTGCGGCTAGAGGCAAGAGAAAAGTACGTGGAGTCGGCCACGTGTACGAGAACAGCGGCGGTGGCGGTGGCGGAAGTGTTTACGCTCGAAACCTGCTGCACAAGCTAGGGCGCAAGGTAAGGAAAGGGCGCATGCACGGGACCCCCCAGGCGGGGGTGGGGGTGGCGGGGGGGGGTGCGAGAGGGCGAAGTCGTCGTTCGAGTGTGGCCAGCCTGGCGGAGAGCAAAAAGGAAAGCTACTACATAGCGTGCGGGTTTTTTCCGCCTTTTGCGTCGCCCCCCGTTCGCGTTGATCTTTCACGCACGAGAACGTTCTGAGGAACGGGAGCCGGAATCATCGTTCTTCGCTTTTGCTTGCTTGCTTGTCCGAAAGATCATCACGTACATCTAGAGGGGGGAGAACCAGCCGACCACTCCGCTTGCCTGCCTTCCTGCCTGCCTTGCTCGTTGGAGCTACACCGCTACCACGTGCCGTAGAGGGTGGTTGTACACGGCGTGTTCCGTGGAAGGGGTCGGGAAAAGGGGGGTGGAGAAGCGGGGGATTAAGCGCTACAGCCCCGCAGGTCAAGGGCGTGTTGTGTGTGGTTGGTCTCTCGAGGCAAAAACAATCGATGATGAAGGCACAGCACACACCCCCGCGGCCCATGCAGCCGCGGGTTCACGGGATGCACGGCACGAAATCCGAGAGATTTTTAGAGATGGGACGAGTAGTGCCTTGGTTGTAAGGGGGGCAAGGAAGAAGCAACAAACAAGAACGAACGGGGGTCGTCCAAAAGGGAAAGGAACACGGACTGAAGCCGGATTTTTGCTCAGGCGACCCTGCGGCAAGGCTTGCGGGATACTTGGACACACAACCATCCATCCACATGCGGGAATACTACTTTCGACGTGTAAACCGACAGCTCGGGGCCTTCCTACCAAGAAAAAACGCAAGAGTTATTCTCCCCCCGGATTTCAATGCACAGCGACGACAGCCAGCCGTGTTTTTGTGCCCGCCCCCTCTACATGCCCCCAACACTTGGGGCTGGGGAACCGGGGGGGGGGGGGGGGGGGGGGGGGGTTTAAAACCCCCCCCGGAAACCCGGGGGTTTCCCCCCCCGGGGGGGGGAAAAAAAAAAGGTTTGGGGTTTTTTGGGGGGCCTTTTCCAAGGCCGGGCCCCGGGGGCTTTTCTTCCCTTTTTTCCCCCCAAAACCCCCCCCAGGGGAAAAATTTTAAAAACCGGGCCCCCCCTTTTTAAAGGTTTTTGGAAAAAAATTGTTTGCTTTCCCTTTTGGCCCCCCGGGGGGAAAGGGTTTGGGGGGTGTTGGGGCCCCCTGGGGGGGGCCGGGGGGGGGGGGGGTTTTTTTTTTTTTTTAAAAACCCCCCCCCCTAAACCCGGGGAACAAAAAAAAAAA